GCTGCTACATCTCACAAAAGTGCTCTGGGTCTTCTGCTATAAACACTAGCACCACAACCTACCCCATTATTATGAGACTGGCAATTCTTGTCTTGGGACCTGCGGTTTTCTCTGTGTTTTCTTTGGTGTCTCTCTTCCAAATCTTTTCCCCTTGCTTTGATTATATTCACACAAACAGTCTGCTTTGTTGCCCTAATGCACTTTAAATCATAACTTTATTCACCAGTCTTACTTTTCCTGCCCAGAGTCTGGTTGGGCTCCAACTAATGGCCAGTATCTCTAGGCTAATTGTGGGGTAACAAGAGTTGCTCACTCTTCATCCCCATCTTTCACAAAATAACCACTTTTCTCTCCCAGTTTCACCCGTTTTAGAAATTCTTCCCTCCAGTGGCAATGGGATTAGAGATCAGAGTAGCCACGACTTAGAGCAGTCAGGACCAGATGGATGAGATAAACTAGACAATTTAATCACAGAAAAAACAATTCTATTGCTCTTTGTCTCTTAAAGTTGATATTCATTTTGGTTGCTTCAGGGTATTTAGGCAAGAGTCCCAGAAACCCCACACCAGATCCAAAAATACAGCAAGCCCTGAAGGCTTTCAAAGACAAAAGACCTAGGGTTTGGGCTCTTGCCGGTGCTGTTACATTTCCCTCATCCCTCCCCTGACCTCTACCTCTTCTCCTTCTGAGTCTTCCTTCTTTTCTCCAGGTCACAGAGATCTCTTCCTTATCTGAACTCCTAAAGCATGTTTATACACCTTGTACTATTCTCCAATGTTGCTTGATTCCTATTCAGTTAAGTCTTGCATTTTCCTATATGGTGCAAGATAAAAGAGTGCTGAACTCAGAGCCCAGAAGGCCTGGGCTTCAGTTTTACCTCTATCATGTATTAGTTAAGTGACAGAAGTAATGGGTAAGTAGGGATATCTATAAGATGGGTATATCAAATGATACCTGTACTACTTAGCTCACAGGGTTGTCATTGTGAGTTTTAAATAAGATGTTGTACAGTCATGTCTGGCTCTTTGTGACACCATATGGGGATTTATTTGCAAAGATACTGGAGTGGTTTTGCCATTTCCTTCTCCAGTTCATTTTATAGATGAGGAAACTAAGGCAAATGGGGTTAAGTGACTTGCCTAAGGCCACACTGCTAATAAGTGTCTGAGATGGGATTTGAACTCATGAAGATGAGTCTTCCTGACTCCAGGCCCAGCACTCTATGCACTGTGCCACCCAGCTGCCCCTTAAATAAGATAGTGTATGTAAAATGTTATTTAACCGTTACTTATCATTATTTAAGCTTACTGAGGGCAGGAGGCATCTTGAGTATTTCCAATTTATCCTTTGTATGGCTTGTTTGTATGTAATTGTTTGTGTGTTGTCTCTCCCATTAGGTTGTAAGCCCCCTGAGAGCAGGAACTGCCCCTTTCTTTGTATCTCCAGCACTTAACACAGTGCCTGCCACATTGTATGTGCTTAATATATGTTAATTGACTGAATTATTTCATGCTCTATGGCAACTGGTGTAGTGCCAGGGCACATACTAGGTATTCCGTAAATACTTGTGGAATTGAAAGAGAGGCAATGTGACATAAGGGGAAAGAGCCCTGGATGTGTAGACAGGAGACCCAGATCTGTGTCCCATCTGTGAAATTTCCTAGCTGTGTTACGCTGGGCAAGTCAATTCTCCTCTCTAAGCCTTGGTTTCTGGAGCTACAAAAATGAGACTTCCTAATATTTGTACCACCCACTTCCTAGAGTTATTTTAATGAAAAGATGTTGCATATTACACAGCAAATGTGAGTTATGGTTATTATTAGTGAGGAAAGTGAGTTATGTTACATCATACCCGGCAGGAGTTTCATGAAGTTATAATTTTGATGTGAATAGTCAGTGTCAGACCCATGCCCAATCAACTCAATGAGCATTTATTGAGCACCTACTTTGTGCCAGCACTGAGCTAGGCACTGGGGCTACAAATACAGAGAATGAAATAATTCTTGCTCTCAAGGAGATTACAGTTTAATGGATGAAGACAATAAGTATATATGCATACACATGTATAGAATAAATACAAATTTCCTGTGCTCAACTACCTAATTCCTGCATTGTCTGACTGACTTCTCATCCCACCTTCCATTCTCTTTAGAACCTCTCCTTCAGGGGACAAAAACAAAGAAAGCATGGTACTTACTGTGTTTGTGACTTTTTCAACTGATGTGAAGTCTGACCAGACTTCCATGTGACAGGCAGCAGGGCTGGGGAGAAAGGAAGGAATTGGGTACTCAAGGGATGATGTGGAAGCTGGAGAGGAGAGAATAGTTTGATGTGAAATGAATTCATATTGGAAAACAGCTGTGGTAAATTCCATAACTCATTTCCCCTCACCCCTGCCCCCTGAAAAAACTCCCAATAACTTGAGTGGCTGTTCTAAGGTCCAATTAGAGGAGGACATTGATTGCCTACAAATCTCATTTAGAATACAGAGCAAAGAGAAAATGCTCATAGAATAGTGGAAAAAGCACTAACTTTTGATCAGATTTGTTCAATGTAATATCACATAGCATTTCAAGATTTGGTCCCCAGACTTAGCTCTCAACTCCCAGGCCTACTTTATTGATCTCTAAGAGACAGTGAAATGGGGACAATTATGCTCATCTGCCTATGGCATAGGATTGTTACACTGAACTTTCTCTTATTTAAATACAGTAGCATCTTTCTCCTTGGAACTCACCAAACCTTTACAAATGCTTCCTCATTTATCTTCATGGCCACCCTAATTCTGAGGGAGCAAATGATACATAGATGAGGTAAGTAACTGGCCCAAGGTCATCAAACATGCCTCTGGCAGAGTTCCAGGCTAGAGCTGGGAATTTCTTGTCTCTTATTTCTGATCAGTTAAATTCATTTCATTTCAACAAACTTTTATAAACACCTACTGTATGCAGAGATAGCCACCCACTGGACAGTATTCCCTCGATTAATAGGAGAAAATTTTCAGCTTAATCACCTAGAGATCAGGAAAATAGGGATATTTTTCTCACATAAAAAAGGCACTCAAGGGAGAACTTTTATAGTAGAGGCGAATGGCAGGCAATGCTTGAACTTTACTCTCAGTGGAATTGGTTTACAAGGAAGAATATATATGTGTGTATATACACATACATACATATACATAAACACACACATACACATGTATATAATGTGTGTATGTATGTATCTATGTATGTACCTGTATATTCTATATTTTATATATAATTAGGGAATCATTCTTATTTATATAAATTAATTGGAATTCAACTAAATTTATAATATATTTTTCTATATTTCATATATATGCATGTATACATTCTTCCCTCTTTGAACCACACACACACACACACACACACACACACACACACACACACACTCAGTTGGGTATAGAAATCTCTCTTAGTAGGGAAATAGGAAGGAAAGAGGATAAGAAATGGAGGGGGGAGGGGTAAAAGAGACAGTAGGTTCAGGGAGGTAGTGAGGAGGGACAGGATAAAAAGAGAGACAGAAGAATAAAGTGAAGAAAATAGGATGAGGGAAATCCACAGTTAGGAATCATAACTGTGAATGTGAATGGAATGAGCTCACCCATAAAATGGAAGCAGATAGCAGAGTGGATTAGAAACCAGAATCCAGCAATATGTTGTTTACAAGACACACACTTGAAACAAATACACACAGGGTTAAAATAAAGGGCTAAAGCAGAATCTGTTATGCTTCAACTGATGTAAAAATAGACAGGGGTGGCAATCACAACCTCAGACAAAGCAAAAGCAAAACTAGACCTAATTAAAAGAGATAATCAGGGAAACTACATTTTGCTAAAAGGTAGCATAGACAATGAAGCAATATCAAAAAAAGTTTACAGCAAGTTTCTCTGATAAAGTCTTCATTCCTCAAACATATAGGGAACTGAGTCAAATTTATAAAAATAAGAACCATTCCCTAATTTATAAATGGTCAAAGGATATAAACAGGCTGTTTTCAGGAGAAGAAATAAAAGCTATCCATCGTCATGTGAAAAAATGCTCTAACTCACTATTAATTAGAGAAATGCAAATTCAAACAGCTCCAAGGTACCATCTCACACCTTTCAGAAATGACAAATGCTGGGCTCAAGGAAAATAGGTATACTATATAGGTATTTAATAGATAGTAAGCTGTTAGTGGGATTGTAAACTGGCTCAAACATTCTGGAGAACAATTTGGAGCTATGCCCAAAAGGCTATAAAACTGTGTATACTCTTTGATCCATCAATACCACTACTAGGTATATATCCCAAAGATATCATAGGAAAAGGAAAAGGACCTATATGTATAAAAGTACTTATAGCAGCTTTTTGTAGTAACAAAGAACTAGAAATTGAGGGGATGCCCATCAATTGGGGAATGGCTATCATTATGGTATGTGATTGCAGTGGAGCACAATTGTGCTTTAATAAATGACCAGAGGAGTGGTTTTAGAAAAAAACATGGAAGACCTGTATGAACTGATGCAAAGTGACATAAGAAGAACTGGGAGATCATTGTGATAGTTACAGAAATGTTATAATGATGATCAACTGTGAAAGACGTGGCTGCTCTGATAAATTCAATGAGGTAAGACAATTCCAAAGGACTTAGGATGAAAAAAATGCTAGTTATCTCCAGAGATAGAACTGATGAACTCTGCAAATTGAAGTATAATTTTCTTCCTTTATTTTTTTTGATGTCACTAATATGGAAATATGCTTGGCACGATTTCACATGTAAGTGATATTCTATTGCCTGCCTTCTCATTGGGTGGGTGAGGTGTAGGAGGGAGGGAGAAAATTTGGAACTTGAAACTTAAAAAAGATTGTTTAAAGTAAATAAGAAATTTATAATTTAAAAAAGAATAGGACATAAGAAAAGGAATGACTTAAGAAGGCATAAGAAAATGACCATTATTTTAAATCTGTTCCTGTTTATTGTTCTTTGCCAAGGCCATCTTCTGACTGGCGATGCATTAACCATAGCAGGAGCAGAAGTCTCATTCTGATGAGTGTTCAGAAGTTCATGGGTATGACCTTGGTTGGGTAAGTCACTTCACTTCCTTCTTTGTCAAAAGAAAGGGCTGGGCCACGTGACACTTCTTTTATTCTGTGATATTCTTACACCAAAGGACCCAAGGCTCTTTCTTGTGACTGATTTAGAAGATGTTGGCTCAGGACCAGTTAAAAAGCCATAGAATAGTTTTGTTGAGGGCAAAAGCCCACAAGTGGCTTGAGTTTCCAGTTCATTCTTCTTTTATCTGAATTCATTTGTGCACCCCCAAATTATGGTAGCCAGAGTTGGGGTTTTTTGTGGTTGTTTTTTGTTTCTTTGTTTTTATAAAATTTTATAAAATCACCATTGAAAATCACCATGCAAAGTACTCTGTTCCATTCCCACAGGGCCTTGGTCGGGGCCTGGCTAGTCAATCTGATAAACCAATTTATTCAGGTCACTTTAGCAAATACTTGTAAAGTACATGCTTTGGGCCTAAGACTGTATAAGATATGCTGAGGGATAGACAACAGTTATTAATAATAATTAAAATAATAATAACTAGCATCTAATTCTTTAAAGTTTGCAAAACATTTTACATACACAATCTCATTTGAGCCTTACAACAAACCTGTAAAGTGGATTTTTTGTTCCTCTTTTTTGGTTTGGTCCTGTGATTTCCTCCATGTGGGAAAACTCTGCTGTAGAAACCTCTTTCTATGCAGATTGGTGATTCCTCTTTGATGAAGAGTTTTAGAAAATTGCCTGACCTCTGACATTTAGAGACTTGCCTATAGGCTTGTGTGTGTCAGAGACAGGACTTGAATCTGGTTCTTCCTGATTCCAAAGTCATCCTTTTTCAGTGATGTCATGTTAGTTCTCAAGGTAGATGTTACAGGTATTATTATCCCCATTTTACAGATGAGGAAACTGAGGCTCAGAGAAATTAAGTGACATACCCATATTCACTCAGCAAGTGCTAGAGTCAGGATCTGAACCCAAGCCTTCATGACTCCAAATCTCGAATTCTTTCCTCTACCTCATTCTACCTCTTATAATAAATACCAAAAGCTGATATAAATACAGGGTGTCCCAAAAGTCTTAGTGCAGCTTTAAGTCTATTAAGCCTTAGAGATTTGAGGAATATCCTGTACGGTTTTTTTAAGGTGTACAGAGAACTTCATGTGGAAAAAATGATGAACTTGGAGTCACAGGGCCTAAGTTTGAATCCTGGCTCTGTCACCTACCTTGTATATGACTTTGGACAGGTCACATAACATCTCTGGTCTTCACTTTCCTCATCTGCAAAATAGGGATGTTGGACAAAATGATCTTGATGTTCCCTTCCAGTTCTAAGTCTGTAATCCTATAATCATTTGTGCCTCACAATGACCCTAAGAGGTAAACAGTCTAGGTGTCACTACCCCCAGTTTATGGAAGTTTGCTAAGATTGAGTAACTTGCTCACAAGTGAGCCTCTGAGACAGAATATCAACCCAGGTCTTCCTCATTCTAAGACCGGCACTCTAGTTATGACACCAGATTGCCTTTCTAAAAGATAATGGTCCCTGTCCACAAGACTACAGTCCCATTGAGGAGATCAAATAAATACCCATGAAAAGGGAAATGTTACTCAGAGGATCCGAGGCTGCAAGAAACCTTAGAGGTGATCCAGTTCACCCCTTATTTCCTAGATAAGGAAACTGAGGTCCAGAGAGGTAAAGTGATGATGTGGGATCTGTGTGCTTCATACAATGATAAGGTACGCTCAAAGGCAGAAGAAAGACTTTTTAAGAGGGATAATCAATATCAATAGGCTGGTCAGAAGTATCAGAGAGAAAGATGACCGGATAATATAAACCAGTGGGTGTCAAACCCTACATAAGAATCCCTGTTGTCGCATATTGACTTAGAAAACCACATATTAACATTATCTATGTTCTATCGTATTTTATTTATTTTGTTGAATAATTCCCAATTACATTTTAATCTGGTTTGGGAAGCACTGGGGAGTGTTGAGGCGGTTTGTAGGCTTGACATGTCTGGTTTAGAGCCTTGTATAGTATTGAGGTGATTTGGTAAACTCAAAGTTCTGTGATGAATGCCTCAGGAGAACCTTAAGGAAGAAGTTAAATCTGAAAAGGAATATAAAGAAGGAGAGGGAGCTAACTTGTCTCAGTGGTGGGAATATAGAGTGAAGTAGCTATGAAAGGAAGGAAGGGAGTTTGCCTATTTTTATCTTTCCTCATGGAAAAATATCAGTATATCCCCAGAAAAATGGAACTCCTGAGTCAGGCCTGTTAGAGAAGCATAGAAAGATGGAGGCAGGAACAGTGTGTGGCAACTGGCAAAGTTCACAAAGTACAATGGGCACCTCCAGATGTGGAAGATTTTCCCTCCCTTGAGTTCTTCAAGCAAAATTTGGGTCTGTTGTAGAAGGGAGGAAGGGAGTCTGATTGAAGCTCAGCCTTAACCTTTACTGACTTGTGGCCCCCTTTAGCAATCTCATGAAACCAAGGACTCCTCTCAGAATAAGGTTTTTAAATGTATAAAATAGGATGCCTATGTTTACAAATGAAACCAATTATGCTATTTTTGTTATTGTTAAGTTGTTTCAGTTGTGTCTGACTCTCCATGACCCCATTTGGGGTTTTCTTGGCAAAGATACTGGAGTGGTTTGCCATTTCCTTCTCCGGCTCATTTTTACCAAAGAGAAACTGAGGCGAACAATGTTAAGTAACTTGCCCAGGGTCACCCAGCTGGTAAGTGTCTGAGGTTGGATTTGAACTCAGGTCCTCCTGGCTCCAGCACCAGTACTCTACCCATTGAACCACCTAGCTGTCCCCATATTGAAGTATAGTTATCAAAAAAATATTTTTTCTTAATTCATTGATTGTAGGTCAAGGATCCCCAAATTAAATGGCCTTTGCCATCACTTCGATCTCTGAGGCTCTTTGAGAGCACTTATCTTACCTTGGGGCTGAAGAGAGACGCTTGATTCCTACTGGCTAAGTTATTCACATGGAAAGAAAGGGAAAGGAAAACCTGCTAGGCCCAGCTACCTTTCTCATGGATGTGGCAAGAACAGCTGATTCTCCAGGGGTAGGAGTAATCAGACCATTGTCAGGGACATCAGCTAAGAGAGCAACTTGCTTTCTCTTGTCAGCCCAGCATGAGGTTATAGAGGCGGGTCAATCACGGGGCAGTGTAGATATTTGGAGGTAGTGTAAAGAAGGGAGCAGCAGGGGAGTAGGTTTTTTTTTCACTTTATTTCATTTTTCGTTTTGGAGGCAACTAGAAGGCAGTCGAGCATGGTGTACATTAACACACTAGAGCTGGAGTCAGGAGACACCTGGCATCTAAACCCTATCTCTGACACTTAGTTATGTGATCCTGGACAATCAGTTCACCTCTCTGAGCCTCGGTTTCTCTATCTGTAAAATGGGGATAATAACACCTGTAAGGCCCACCTCACTGGGTTGTCATGAGGCTCAGATGAGACAGTATATTGAAATACTTTGAATTCTTTTAAGTGCTCTACAAATATCAGCAATTGCTGCTATTTTTATTACTCATTCTTTAACTGGAGAGGCTTCAGCCTTCTTACTGGTACTTCTCATGCAACAAATTACAAAGGATGGAAGTTTTCAAAGAGGACCAGGATATTGGTCACATCCCTAGAGCAGGCTGACCATGCAGTGTCTCCCTAGAATTGTTTGCCACTCCAGGATCATTCTTTTTCCCGTGGCCAGACGTGTTCCATGTAGGTGCAACGGAGTCTTTTCTTGCTGCTCATGGAGCTCTGCCAGGTGTAGATGATGTCACCACAAGGGCAGTCAAGTGCTTCCTTAAAAGGGCACCTGGTACTGAGGACTCCAGGGGGCAAACTGCTGCTCTGAAGGAGATCCATGCATAATTCATTATGATGTGCTGTTCACCTGAGCCCCAGCACCCTTGCAGCCTGCTTCATGAGTTTGTAGACTTGTTTAGGGTGAAAGAACAAATCCCAAATAAAAAGAACCCGGGCACCTTCCATGCAGGGTATGTATTTATGTAGCCACTTTGGCATCCCAAGTGACAAAATCTCCTAGGGAAGGACAAACCAAGAAAGAAGAGAGCAAAAAGATAACAGATCTAAGATTAAGTTGGAGCTGAGGATTCAGAGATGAGGAAGAGAGACACAGAAAAGGGGATGGGCAGAAGATATAGCACATAGAGATTTTGCTGCACATTATGTCCTCTGGCTTTAAGTTAGTGATATAGACTCAGGAGAGAAACAAAGGCATGACTTCCATGTCTCCTTCTCTCCCGGGATTTTAAGGCTTTGAGGAAATGAAAATAGCTTCCTCCTCTGGAGAAGGCTTGGGGACTCCTAACCCTGGAGTTTCCTTGTCCCCCCCACCTCCATCCACCTCCAGTTTGAAATGATATAATTCTGTGGAATGAATGCAGACCTGCAACAGGACAAAGAGTAACTAGGCCCAGCCTGCAAACCTCCTCAAGAACTCCTGTGTTAGCTCTAGAAATGTGCAAAGAGCAACTCAGAGTCTTGGGGAATGAGGAAGAGGATGAGAGAGTAGATCAGTGAAGTAAACCGTAGCAGAGGTTTGGTCACTGCCTATGTTAAACATACAATGGAAAAGATTATAGCCCTAGAACCCCGAACTTTGAAAATATCTTCTGGGCTTGTATCTGGCCCTCACTTGTTAAGTTGAAAGCATTTAAAATTGTCTCTAGTCCCTGAGGCAGGTGTAGGAGATGGCCCCTAAAAGCATCTTGTATGGAATGTGGGATCTAAATAATTTTTTTAATGAATTAATGAATGAATAAGGCTATGTATTGGACATAGGATCAGTTGGAACTTGGTGTCATGTTGGCATGACCCTGGTTAAGAATTTAATTATCACTACTCTTTGGTAATCATTTAGTGATTTGGGAGTAATTAATTGGAAGGATTCTATTGGAAACACCTAGAACCCCTTTCATCAAATAACTCCTAGCAAAACACCCACTAATCATCCAATGAAAAATTATTCATTGGCTACTAGTAT